CTATCAGAAGGTTGCGGAGGCCAATAAGGAGAACTCGATGTAGAAGGCATGTGCTGCGTTTGCGCCTCTTCCATGACATCTTCCTTAAACACAAGCGGCAAACTAGAGACGAAGAAATATAGTTTGGAATAATGCAAATCAGCTGCAACCTACATCTTTATATTTCTTCTTATCGTCCCTCCTCTTCTCTAGCGTTTGAGCAAGGATGTCAGGATGATTCCAGATCTAAAAGAATGAAATAAGAAATCCGTACATATGACCTATGCAAAATGCGCCGAACCTTTGAACAAGCGGCAAATGCCTTCAGTGGATTGAAGACTGTTGTATTTCCAGTACTAATCTCTGTGTTGGCATACATGACAAAGTTCCTTAATCGAGTTATTGGTTGCAATGAAGACTTATAAAAATCATCTTACCTATACAAAGCATGCTGGAGAGGGCTTTTACGAAGTAGTAAGACGTACTCCTTACTTTCCGGAAGTATAGCTTTCAAAAGATGATGGGTTCTCCTGGAATAGGGATATATCGTGTACAAACAGAGATCGCAGCGTCCGGTAGGCAACAAAGGAATTTTCTCCTGGTATTATGAAGATATCAACTTGTGTCCCAGAGGTACGAACTAACATAATATTATGAAAATGGAGAAATTCTGGCTAGATGGATAGTAAGAAAAAAAGAAGCAATCTGCTTTTTGATACACTACTTCATTTCCAGATACTACTATAAGTCTACCATGTCCACCCTTAATTCCAAGTGGCGTACATCTGACTAACCCGATATACGTATAATTCTGCAAGTACCTTTGAATGAATCCTTTGAGCATACTGTTGAGGACATGAATGCGTTGCCTTGCTATTTTGACATCATCTAAAAAGCAACAAGATGCATAATCTTTTGAGCAAATGCACTATTCACACTTGCTTACTTAGGGAACTGAGACATGAGATAGTACAAAACGGTACAGAACAGAAAGCAAAACAAACGAAGAATCATTTATAGGTCTCATATAGTGAGCAAAATTCAACTTACGTGGAGTTGAATCTATGCACTGTCCATTTCTGATCGGCTTCT